TATATATATATATATATATATATATATATAATAAATAATATAATCATATTGAATGTAAAATAATTTTTAAAAATAAATAAATAAATTTGAATTTATAAAAGATATAAATTATATTGGTTTCTTACTAAATAATGTTGACAAATCTTATGATTTTAAATAGTAGCATATGGTATTTTGAAAATTTTAAAAATTATATTAACATCCATTAATATTACACTAAGATAGTATCAGTATTTATAATACAATATTCAAGTTAAATATTATTTTAAAATTTTACAATATCAATTCATATTATTTCAAATATGTTTCCAAACACAAATACACATATAGAATCATACTGAAGCTGGTCGATACCAAATACCATTTAACAGTGAACCTCTTGCTTTCTAAAGTCTCTTCCTATGATGATGACCGAGAGAGAGAGAGAGTAGCGTATAGCCGAGTGTCTCTTGTTGGCCTTCTATGATAGCTGGCTTCCTATCGGAAACAGACTCCTATATCTTTAGGTGATGAACTTGGCGACAAGAGACACCAAGTCAAAGGAAATCGAACAACTCGTTACCGGTCATCTACTCCGATCCAGAATAGAAAGCTTTTACGAGTTCAGATAACTGCCCCGAGAGTGGAAACTTCTGAATCCCCAAAAATTTACTTGGAAATGGTAGATTAATCGTAGCTGGGAAACGCACTGCAACTCATCACATCAGTGAGTCCGACCTGAGAAAGACGACCGATTGGAGTCGGCCATTCCGTTCAATTGTTGCATTGTTTTAGAGACGGGCCACATTTTTCTTCTCTCAAATATATTTTGGTAGTCTTAGCTAATCCTAATCCTATATAATTAACTCTAAAATGTCACACGCTGCTGGACTTGTTGTTTTTTATTATTCATAGTCACCACCGTCTTTTAACCCTAATCAATTATTAATTCATTGTAGAGATTGATGGTGCTATGTTGATGGCACACCTAAGTGATCACCGAAGGGGGCCGAAGCTGATGCAGACGCGTGGCTGGAACAGCGAAATCAAGGATATTTTGGAGAGGGTGGTGGAACAAGCAAAGGTGTTTGGTGGCAGGTGACTGACAAAAGATCTCTGAAATCCTACTCCCATTATCCCACCAACTCGTACCCAGGAACACTGAGGTGTGCGGGATGGCCAACGCGAGAGAGTGAGGAAAGCAATCACCATCCGAGTTCCACATCGGTGCTGTCAGACTCTTATTCTATTCCTTCTCTTTCCCTTCTGCCTTTCTTTCTCTTCCCCCCCTTCCCTTCTCGTCTAATCCACTACACCAGTACCGAACCCTGGGGAATAAAAGGAGCATCGTTGAAACCCTAGATTTGTAGCCCGATTCTGCTCACCCGCATGGATAATTCGATCGATCTTCTCCTACAAGCTGTTGGAGGCGATCCCGACTCCGTCGCTGCTTTCGAGCCGTTCTGCATTTGTTCCTTTTCTCGGGGGTGAATCGCGCGTGGTTTGGGTCGACCCGTGGGGGAAAGCTTGTTGATTCTTGGGGATTTTGTGACTTTGTTGGCTTGACAGTCTGAATTTGGCAGAAAGGTCGCTTTTTTTTTTCACTTTGGTAATCAGTGATGGAGCCTCGAGTTGGCAACAAATTCCGCCTCGGTCGTAAAATCGGGAGCGGCTCGTTCGGGGAGATCTATTTAGGTTTTGCTTTCGTCAACCTTATCCCTATTTAATACGTTGTGCTTTATCATTATATTATTATTTATGGTTTTGATGATGCTTTTTGCTTGTTTATCCAGGTTCTAATGTTCAGTCAAATGAAGAAGTTGCAATCAAGCTAGTAAGAAACTCTACTTGGTTTTCCTTCGCTGTCCTGGTTGTTGGATTCTCTAATGTCAATATTTTTTAATAATTTGACCAAGCAATTTAACTTATATTTATTTGCTTTACATAAGCCGCATCGTTCATGTCTATCAGGAAATTTTGTAGATTCTGATGGACCATTTACCATAATTATGGAGTTGAATGACAAATTCTAAGATTATGAAGCTTTTACATGGAAGTTCAGTGTTTCATGGGAATTGCAGTTGAACTGATACTAATCGTGTGGTCTAGCATGATTATTGGTAAAAATATATATGCAAATTACGATATGAAGTTAAATATAGTTTATGCTGGGAGAGAGGTAGATAGTTGAAAATTTTTAAATAATCAAGATGTGCCTTTGCCATTTTATTCCACATGTATTTCAGGTATTTGTTCAGTTAAACATAAGTAGGTTCAGGTGATAGTAAGAACTACATCAGATTTATTGGCCAAATTTTCTCCAAATCTATCTTATGATGATATGTCTGATTATTTAACTGACATTGTAGGATCTGAAGAATTTTGTAAAATTGGGTATTTGCGGCTATTACAAACTGTGTCTAGCTGGACTGCTGATATGGAAATGTTGCCCAGAACATTTTTCACTTCATACTGGCATTGTATGCCAATCCTTTTATGTAGCTTTTTCTTAAGATGTAATTTAGATGGATAATTGTATGTGAATGCATGCATATTTAATGGTGGATGGAGGGGAGCGCTTAAATCCCATAGCTCTTGTAAATTTCAAGGTGTTATTTGACTTAGCAAAGCAAATTTATTTTTTAGACAGTGAGAGCCAAAGTGTTATTTGTCTTTCAAAGCAAAAAATATTCAATTATTACAAGGAGATCTATCCTTTTTCCATTCTGTAGTTTTCATCGGTTATCCTAATTTATACTAGGATTGTAAGTAAAATATTCATACAGATTTTGGTTGATTTTATATATCAGAGAGGTCATAATGATTCATTTTTGTTGAATTAGGAAAATGTCAAGACAAAGCACCCGCAGTTGCTATATGAATCAAAGCTCTACAGAATCCTTCAAGGAGGAAGTAATGAAAAGTTTTTATTTCATTTTTAGGAAACAAGTGTATGATCTTATTTGACCTATACTTATTTTCCCATGTTCGTGGTAGCTGGTATTCCAAATGTGCGATGGTTTGGCATCGAAGGAGATTATAATGTTCTTGTTATGGATTTATTGGGTCCAAGCCTTGAAGATCTATTTAACTTTTGCAGTAGAAAACTCTCTTTGAAGTCTGTCCTTATGCTTGCTGATCAAATGGTACTTCTAAGTTCTAACTTCTTCAGTGTCTAAATACTTCTTTGAGTTATTTCTGTGGTTCTCTTGTATCATTTGCTGAAACTTTGTCAGATCAACCGAGTAGAATATGTTCACTCTAAATCTTTTCTGCATCGAGATATCAAACCAGATAATTTTTTGATGGGCTTGGGCAGGCGAGCAAATCAGGTGTGTCTCTAAAATGTACCTGTGATATTCCTATTTTTAACTTGCCATCAGTTTACACTGCGATATTTCTATTTTTAACTTGCCATCAGTTGTGTAGAACTTGACCTAGTTCATGTTCTAGGTCTACATTATTGACTTTGGATTGGCCAAGAAGTACAGGGACACCACAACTCACCAGCACATTCCTTACAGGTAATTTTATTAAGCCTGAATATAAACTTAATCCTGTTACATGGTCAACAGAGTTCTTTTGTGCATGATAGTGGGACTGCATTGGACATGAATCCTTGGTGATGGTACCCAAATTGCTTTCAATAACTTTATATATGTCTAGCATGTGTACAACTGTTAACGGCTTTCATTGCAATCGGTGGTCCATAAGTTAGGAATGGCCTTAGGTTTATTTCATGGTTTGCCCTCAGCAACTGTTGGTACATGTTTATTGGGATCCATGAGACTGTAATAGCAAAACCTACATGAAGAGAATTATGTCTGAATAACTGAAAGTAGAATCAAAAGGATGGCCCAATAAGTATGAAACTTCTAGACAATGACCGAGGTTGATGTTTTTCTAGAAAGTAGTACAGGTACTATTTCGTCAAGGATGCAACTCTTCACCAGAAAGTGATAAAAGTGAAACATTAGTATGTTTTCCTACAGTATGGAATTTATCTAACCTATGCTTCTTTAGGTTTGCCAACCATGTGCTATGATCATTTCTCTTGAAATGCATGATATGAAGTAGAGACCACAAATTCACAATGGAACTAGTTGCTTGAAGAATGAAAGTACATTGTTTGTGGTTAATCAAGATATTTCAAACCACTTGAAACAGAAATCTTGAATAATAGACCTTTCTATGATGAGATGGGTAAATATGCTTAAAATTCAAATGATGGTGTCCATTGTGAGTCTGACAGCAAGTGCAGAAGCACTTTATTTTTATCTCAGGCTGTCATCTATCCTGCAGGGAGAACAAGAACTTGACTGGAACAGCGAGATATGCTAGCATAAACACTCACCTAGGAGTTGGTATATCCTTTATGCCTTCATTGTTTTCATGATTTTGTTGTTTACAATTGCTATGCTTATTGGGTGCCTTTTTTGTTTTTTTATCCTTGTGATTCCTGATTGCTGCTATGTATTTTGTGGCTGCTAAGAGCAAAGTAGGAGGGACGATTTGGAATCTCTTGGATATGTTTTCATGTATTTCTTGAGAGGAAGGTTGGTTCCCATTGACAGATTATTAGGAATATGTCCTTCCTATCTTCTTTCCCTTGCTAATCCTACTTTTTCTTTTGGGTAGCCTTCCGTGGCAGGGTCTAAAAGCTGGAACTAAGAAACAGAAGTATGAAAAAATTAGTGAAAGAAAAGTTTCCACATCAATTGAGGTGACAGGAATATCTGTTTTGCAGTTTTGCTAGATTTCAATAATATGTAGCTTCAAAAAATTGTCGTTTTGCAGGCATTATGCCGGGGTTATCCATCAGAGTTTGCATCATACTTCCACTATTGTCGTTCACTTCGCTTTGATGATAAACCTGATTATGCTTATCTTAAGAGAATATTTCGTGATCTTTTCATCCGCGAAGGTAGGTCTTGTGGTATATATTGTGGATGGTTCGAACTGAATGTTCCTTTACAAGCTTGTCAGGTATGTGCATCATGTTCCTCATATCTTCATTACGTGCAGGTTTTCAATTTGATTATGTGTTTGATTGGACCATTTTAAAGTATCAGCAGTCACAGATTGCAGGTGCCACTCCACAAGCTCTTGTAAGTTTGTAAAAAGGAAAAAAAGAATGGCTTCTTTTATACCTTTGATAGTTTTGTTGGTTAATAAATTTGCTTCTTTTGTTTCAGGCTGCTGGTGATGGACCAAGTTCTGGGATGGTACCCATGATTGCTAATATGGATAGGCAGTCTGGTAATATGTATAGTGTTTGCACATGCCTTTGTCTAACCTTTTACTATTTGAAAATTGTTAAGTGCTATTTGATTAGCTAGTTGATTCCTTGATCATTCTTTAGTCTGACATTATTTCGCAGCTTTCATACCGCTTATTAATTTCTATTTTAAGCAACCGTTAGCATTTCTATTTTAAGCATTTTTTCCTTTTTATTTCACTACAACAACAATAGACCATAATGTCTCAGCCATTCGGAGTTGGCAACATGGATCTTTTCTCATCATAATGCAATATCTTGAGTTAAATCAAGAGTATTTAGATCATTTTTGTTGGTTTAGTAAAATATTATTGGGTCTCTCTTGTCATCTTTTAACACCACTAATCCTAATCGACTCACATAATTTAACTAGAACATTTATAAATTTCCATGAAACATGTTCATTCTACTTAAAACTCTTTTATCCTTTTCTATTAAACATGTCCGTACCATTTTAAATTTTCATTTTTGGGAAACACAAAATATTTGCATATTAACTATATTAACTTTTTTGTGTTAACAGTCTAATAATTTGACCTATATAAATCATGGTTGGTCTTGCACAATTATCTTATAAAATTTCAGATGATGGTTTTACAAATCACTTGTTACCACTCTCCACTTTGACCATCCAATTGTTGCTTTATAAAGAATATTTCAATCAATCTTTCCTTCCTATCGAATAACAAAGCTAAGATATTATAAACTTTTATGTGTAGGAGGCTAGGAGCTTCTTGTCCATCCCCATTTCTTTAGTATCTCTAAAACCACAACATATATTTGTTTTAGTTTCAATTTATCTAAAATCTTAGTGTCTGAGATTTATCCATCTTATCTAAGGTTGCATGCATTGGCCTTCCTTAGGTCACGCATTGGTGGGAGCATCATGCATTAGATTTGCTCTTCTGATCTTGTTATTAAACTTTCCTAACAAAGTATTATACTTCAACTAAAATTATTTTAGGTATTGAAGAAGGAAGGACTAGTGGATGGTCAGCAGATCCCTCTCGTTGGCGATTTTCTGCACCTGCCGTAAATGCTGGTACAACATCAAAAGAGAAGAACCCAGCAGGAAATGTAGTTGTTCCTAAGGAAACCATGGTGAGATGTTCTTCCGTTTCTTATATTAGAATATATATTTTTCAAGAGGCTGATTTGCATCATACCGATCTACTGTACTAAATTGATACTATATGTCTTGCACTGCTTAGGGTTGCCGATGCATTTGTTGATTGCAAAACTCTTTTCTTCTGTGGTACTGAATGTTGATGTAAAGTTGATCTATTGATATATGACCCTTTGTAGATCTTTACTAATATAAATTTAGTCTATGATTCCTATATTTTAAATGTTAGTTGAACCTTTCTCTTATAGCTGTCAAAAATGTTTGGATGATTGGGGTAGATGGGTTTGTTTTTCTTTTCATGAGTATAGATAGGTATGCTACTCAAGGAACTATTCTGAAAGGAATAACCCAATCAATCTACTTTGATTTGAGGAGCAAAATTAGGTTAAATTGGAAGCATTTTAACATGTTTCTCATTGTTAATTGAGTTGGAAGCCTTCAAGATTGATCTTTGAAGATTCTAAGAACGCATGAGAACCATAGTATATTGGTCATCTTGTACAGATGTATATGGCTCAACACTGCAAAAGAGCTGTAAGATTTTTTTTGCTTTTTATCACATCAAACTGTTTTCACAAAGATACTTTCAGCTGCTTTGAAATAGCCTGTTTCATATTTTACGATAACCTACTCCTGACTGCACTGCTCTGCATTAGTTGATGTGGTTTTAGGAACATTTACCTCCATAAGCAGGAATAACTAGTGTCTTCTTCTTGTCCTATTCCTCATGGTAAATCTCTCACCCCATGTAGCCATCCAGTTCAACATTCTTGGGGCGGTCAGGAGGATCCTCAAGGCGAGCTGCTGTTTCTAGCAGCCGCGAAGCCGTGATGGGTGGTGAGGCAGAAACATCGTACCCTCGCACGACAGAAGCAATCACCGGAGTCATCAACAGAATTCCAGCCCGGCGTAGCTCACAAGCAGTGTCAACAGATCACAAGTTGTCATCCTCCGGAAGGCATCAAGCTTTCGACTGCGAGTCTGCACGCAGAGGACTTCAGTGCCTTGATCTTGACAGTGATGGAAGGGTTGGATACTAGCACTGCTATTTGAGTTGCTTCACGCTGCCTCATTCAGTTGTAAATGCAGAAATTTCGGACATCTGAACATTACAGGTATCATGTTCTTTCAAAGTTGAAGGCCTGGGGTCTCATCTGGAGATCCCGAGAACTAAGTTGGTCCCGAAGAGTGCGAGGAGTTTAAGAGTCCTGTTTGTGAAGGCCCCTTTCTGTCAGTCATGAATGGTATTGGATTATATTTATGTGTGTGTATGTGTGTACATATATTAGCGAGTGGAATCTTGGAATCTGAATCTTAACTGTTGTGGCTATCATTGAATCATTATTACCACTTGTTTATTATTATACGTGATTCAGAAATCCACGGTTTCTTTTGGTTACATGTTGGGTTGGCCAATATAACCTTCCTGTAAACTTAGTCTTATCATGATCATGTTGGGACAGCAGTAGGTAGTAAAAACATGTTACGCTTTGATCATGTATCTGCGATCACAGCATAGAAGGGATCGGACGAGACAAGCATTATAAGAAAGCTGTAACCCTATGGGTTATAGAAAGCTGAGCCACACTTGCACTTCCACCCCTCGGGCTCGTAGTTGGCATACTGCGTCCTCGAATGATCCGTGGTTGCCGGCACCTGTGTGGCCGTGCATGGCGTGCAGCCTCCGCACTTGTGCACGCAGCTCGGCGGCCTCGAGCCCGCTCTGGCAAGTCTCCCGTAAACGTCTGCATTCGCAGCAGCACCTTCGCCTCCTCCTCCGCTTTCTTCCGCTTCCTTCATAGTAAATCATACATACAGCAGTTTAATCGACAGCCTTGCCTATCGAAGAAGACAAGTCTTAGAGACGAGAGCGGAGACCTTCTTGGCTTCCAACAGTTTGACATGCAGATAACTCATCTTCCGACAGTCTGTCTAAGCAAACAGCAGTTGGAGGGGGAGAAGAAGCATCAGAATGACATGAGCTTTTCACCTGGAAAACGTTCACCTTGGGACACGGTCGGAGAAGGCCTTGATCTCCAACACATGACTTGGAGAATGCTCACGAGGAGGACGCACCCGAGTAGCCTGTGTTTTCCACGCCACATAATTCCACAATGATACGAGACAAAGAGACCGGTGTCGCCGAGGCAGGCCCGAGAGATATAGGAACCTTTCTTTTGGTTTCTTTCCTGCTCTCGTACTCTCTGTTACTGATGCGACTTTTCCTTCTTCCCAAGGCTCTCTGCAGTCCCGCTTCTTGTCAGCTCACTTCATATGATTAGTCTACTTCACCTGCTCATCTTGCTCCTTCCCATGACATCCGTAAACAAAGCCTTCGGTCTTGAGCTCGGAAGCCTCTTCCTCCGCAATGTGTCCAGGCTATGAGGTAATAGGTCGAGACTGGTAGGCTACGCACTCAGGCTGCAAAGCCCAACGAAGCTTTCCAGGAATCGCAGGAAGACCAACAAGGTGACGACCCATTTCATGGAGGGGTCATGGATCCCTGAGACCAAGCGATGGCATTTACTGCCTTACAGTCGTCAGTTCCTTCCTCATATCACTGGCAATTTAGATCTTCCATTTTGTTGCAGGCTGCCGGAAGCACAATAAATGGTTGCATGGGGAAGAGTGGTGGTTGCAGTCCCAATTCAAAGCACTGTCACCGACACTACAAGTTTTCTGCCCATCAGCTGCTTCCATGTCCCATTTCAGTTTATTTTTCGGAGGTTTCTTTTTGGGTAAAACAGAGTAGATCGCACTTGATCTGTCATATGCTTTCATGGTGAACACTCATGAGTGGAACAAACGGTCCGCTGCATGAGCATGGGGAACAAAAGCCTTGCAAGAGCAACCGTTGGTATGAAAGCAAAATGACATGAAGGAAAGTAACAAGACATACAAAGCGACAACTAATCTTGCTACTGAGGTGATTACGTTGTCTAGATCTGACCTGATCACGATCACTATGCACTTGCTGACAAATCTAGCACATGAATTGTTACACAGGTTTGCAACAGATAGAATCATTGGAATCTTGTCATCTACGGCCACCTTGTCAAGAACAGCAAGAAGGTGGTGGCTGGTGCTGCAGCAGAGCAGGTGACAGTTTACCACCAGTCCTACTTCGATCTCCGAAGAGGGGATTCAGTAAACAAACCTCAGCAATAACTAAGTTTCCGATCTTTTACATGTAATAAGGCAATCGGTACAGAGTGATGTGAAAACATGCTTTCTCCATGCCAAAATCCCAACATAAATTGAGGCAACTCGCACAAAAAGTTCAAGAGAATGGATAGGAAGCTGCGGTGAGATGAAAATAAATTATGGCACCTCCACAACCACATTTACAATGGAGTTCATCTTCCCAATCAAGAACTCAGCTGTGACACGACACAATGCGCAAGAAAAGAGTCAAAACGGCGCCATAACCTCACCTGGAAGAGATTAACGAGCTCAGGGATTTCAAAGGTGTAGGACGCGAAGAGCACCTCGACGAGGAAGTCTCTAGGCGGCGGTGCTACCCTCCCGTTGTATAAGTACCCGAGCACCGCCACCAGGGCCTCGTATAGCCTACCTCGAAGTCCCTCGCTAGCTCTCTGAGCTCCAACCTGCACGCCGCCTTCCCCCGCTACGCGAACACCTGGCGGAAGAACGTGCTCCGCTTGGACAGTTCGCACCGGTGGAACCCAACCTCCCGCGGGGTGCTGCCATTGCCGCCGGACGGGCCGACGGCGATGCGGGCGTCCTCTCAAAACTCAAACTCCAGCGACCGGAAGGTGGAACCGAGGTTGTGAGAGAGTCGGCCCTTTATGCAGCACACTGAACATGCAAGGTTCATTATGTTGAGATTTGATTCATAGTTATTTATGAATCTAGTAGTTATCATGATTTAATGATTACATGATGATTTTAATAACAACTTCAATCATGATCTAGTAGTTATAAGGTGGTTTCATTAACCACTTCATGATCTAGTAGGTGGTTGTGTCTTATAAATATAACCGTAATTCATATAGTAAAGCATAAAGATAAAGAGTGAGATTGAGATAACAAGCAGAGAAAGATAGAGAATCTGTGTGCATTTGGTATCTTGTAAGTGTCTTATCAATTCTCCTATTTTGTTTTCTCGAGTCGAAAGGATTCTTTTTACTCGTATCGTAGTATTATGTTTCTCCTTGCTCCTCCATCCCAACACATTATACAGGATGTGAGAGAGAGAGAGAGGTTCTAAGATCTGGATTGAGACCGCAGAGAAATGAATGGAGGTCTTCCCATTTCCGCTCAGTTGTCATGTTCAGGTTGTGGTGCTCTTCCGAGGAATTTTTTTTCTTTTAATAAATGTATTTAAAGTATTATTTTTCAATAGATTTTAAGAATATTTTTAAAATTTAAATTATTATTTTGAATCACAACTATCATCCAAAATTTTCAGATTTATAGGACTAAATCTAAGAATAGTTTAACATCTTATTAGTGTTTTTTTTTTTTGAAAAGCTTAATATATTTTTTATTTTCATCTTTTATTTGACCCGATCTTAGACTAATATTATCTTATTACTTTTTATTTTGATTTTTTTTAATAAACAGATAAACAATAGTGTTTCATTCGTATTTTATAAATCGAGATGGAGACAGTAATTGTCTGCATAAAGAGAGTCATTCTGTAGTCACTGATACATTAAATTAATGTCATTTATTATGGATCTTGATTCGGTTGGAGGATTTAATTGGTTGGTACGTCCCACCGGTTGATACTGCATGCATGAGGACGTCATCCAGTTTCTCTTACGTAACCATCTACAGCAGGGGAATGCCCGGAGAAACAGGTCTTGTTCTCACCAGGATGACTCCCTTGGAGAGTGCCCTCTTTACTGCTCGAAATCCTCCAACAGTTTGACCACTGATACTGCCCACCGCATGAGATGATGATATTATCATGAGTCAACTGCTGTTCCTCGGTGGCCTCCATCGAGGACAGTCTGTCACTTGGACAAGAACAAGAAAGAACACGAAACGACTGACGCTCGCATAAAATGGCAGAAGTTTCCTGTGCAAGCTCAGGATAAGCTAAGCACGCTGTGGAGGAAGACAAGGAACTAAGCAAGCGACATCGGAACCAGTACGATGCTTAGAATTCTGGAAAGAACACAGTTCTGAGTGGCATCAGAACGCTAAAGCCAAATGACCAGTAGAGAATTTAGAAGGTCACGTGATTCTGATAACAGGTACGTGGATGTTGTGAACAGTCGACTGTCTGAGATGCACGCATGGCGTCTGCCAAGGAGCAAGTTGGCACTGTGAAGGAGGAACCAATTAGCAGTCCAATGTTTTACGCCACACCATACCGTCTTCTCCTTCTTCCCAAAACCTTAACTTATTAAAGCAGGAAGTGGTGCAGTTTTCTGTGTCCTCTCAAGGGAGGGAGCGCAAGTTTTACGGTGACTGATGTTATCATGTAGTCGTAAGGAACATCTGCTCTGCATAAAACGAAACAGCAACATTGTGTCGACAAGGAACATTCGTGGGGCCAGCAGATATCCTTGTTCCATGGTTTGTAATCTCTCGCCTCTGAATGGTCTAAAACGAGCGCTCCATACAATCACTTTCATCACACTGCATTCATGCTTGAAAGATGAGTTTGGTAGGTAGCACCGAGAAGCCATAGTTGGGTCAAACGGAGCCCATTTTGGCCCAGTTGACTGCAGTCCTTGCAAGTATCGGAAGCATCTCCCATTCGACCATCACAATGTGTCCTCTCAATCCATATCTTTTTATTTTTGTGTCAATTATTTTTTCCCTTATAACACAATAAATTCATATTCTTTTACCACGGCCGGTATTTAATGGCAGATGCAGAGTGGAGGACCGCCCTGACGTGGCTGACGCACCGATCCACGGCCTGTCTCTTTGATGGGTCACGTACGTCACCCAATCCCCTACTATCTGTCCACGGTCAACGATTCTGGGAGCCACGATCGATGGGGCCCACAGCCTGCATGTCACCATTAAACGCCACCAAAACGTGGATCTTCTGACACGTACCCATCTACTCGATCCTTTTTAATTACTACCCCATGCATGCATGCATGCATGCCTGCATGGGGTAGTAAACCATCCCATTAATGATCAACCAGTCAATGCCTATAAGCTGTCCTTCTCCTCTCGTCTCCATTAAGCCTACGACAGGTAATACACACCCACTCACCCAGAGTCTGTTTGTAGATGACGAAAACAAAGAACACTTGGCTTCACTCGACCGCCCAGTCTGGTTTTACTGTGGCGACCATGATGGAGTAATGATTTATCAGCATTCTTCTGTCTTAGTCTTAAAATCTGAGACTCCTTCGGCCTTCGAGCAGATTAAGCTGGAGCACAAATGTGCAGGAATGGTCAGTGTACAGAGCGTAGACTGATTCAACGATTCACCATCTGCAGTAAAATATGAGGAGGAGTTTACGGACAAGGTACGCAAATGAAAAAGGATAGTAGGTTAGGCAAATGGATAGGATTAGACACGTTGACTATGTTGACCATTTCCATTATCTTAACCAGCTTTGGATGGCGTTTTCCTCCTCGCACTCCACATGGTAGAATTCTTCAAGTGGTGCCTTACGTATGCATCATTAACTTTACAGATATGGGGGGATTATGATACAGCTGGGTTCATGCGTGCCGGTGCTGTAATCTTAAATGCCGAAAGGTTTGTCAAATATTCAAGAATATATGTATATATAATCTTCAGCGTCACAAGTGTCCATCTTGACATGAATCTTTTGAAATATACAGCTGATATGAAGTTCCATTCCTGAATGCTTGGTTCGTCAATGCAACCACAATAACAGTTCAACCCAATCATTCCTCAGTGGACTTGTTATTGGTCAGTCCTAAGATTCAGTGCACATTACCTAGTAAAGTATATCGGACAAAACATCATTTGCTGCACTACGTAGATTCCAAGCCATGATCTCTCCCTCCACCAAGATAACTCCACCACGTTTGACCACTTGAGCTTCTGTGGAAACCATTAGTCCTCCTGCAATTCGACTTGTGCAACTCAGTTCTCTCACGCACTTTGGGAGGAGACGCAGGGCTCCTCTCTAGTACATGGCAGACATCGCTTTAGCACTCTTACCCCAATGGCGTCGGTGCATCAGAGACTACGTCATCTATCAGTGACAGTCATGCGTGACCAATAATTAATGGTGAGCCACACAATTATCTCTTCCTCCCTGTCGATACATCTCAGGTCACTATGACAGAAGCCACCTATTTCCTTCT